TAGAATAGAATAGAATAATCCTTTAATTGTCCCACAAGGGGAAATTAGGTTGAAACAGCAGCCAGAAAGACAGATACACAAACAAACAGTACACAGGACACAGAGCAGAAACATTAAGGACAATGGTTACTATAAACAGAGTAATGTACAGTTATTAAATTAAATAAAAATAGCTACAGATAAGAGGCAGAGCAGGTTTTAGTGCGAATCGGTTAATTAACTTATTGCAGTTACAGTGCTGATGTAAACATCTATGCTTGTTGGGAGCAGTTCTGATTGTGCAGTCTGACAGCTGCAGGGAGGAAGGACCTGCAGAAACGCTCCTTCATGCATCGAGGATGCAGCAGTCTGTCACTGCAGCAGCTCTGCAGTTCAGCAACAAAATGACTAAGTTACAGACGCTGGCAATAGATGGAGTAGGTAAAGTATTAGAGCTACAGCACAGCAGGCTCAGTTGTACGTTAAATGTAAATGTCACAACGTGAAGCCAAACTCTGGTCAGGCAGTACCATGGTACAAATGCGTTTCACAGTTTCTACACTGTGCTCGCTCACTTTGGAGCGTTTGGTGATGCCATGGAGATTTTTCAGTCCTTAGAGCATGTGGAGCTTAGAGTTAACACTCGACCAAAACACCATGGAGCTGTGTTTCTCACAGCATATGCACCACAAACTGCCAGAGGCTTGTTAGATGGAACTGGAGGAGTCATTGAATTCCTTGCAGCCAAAGCGAACTGGCTCCAAACCAATGTTTATTTTCAGTCGTAGTTTTCATCAGCTACCTTTATTTTCGATAACTAAACTAACGCACGAGGACAAAAAACCGTGATGAAATGTTTTGACGCTTTACTGACGAACAGAACAAGATGAAAAAGTTCCCGAGAGATGAGATTCAATCAGAATTATTTAAGTTGTGCAGAGAGGCAGGGCGAGTTTGGAAGTGATCCAATCAGGAGTAATCTCCTCGTGCAGCAAGGGTAGACGCGCACGTTTGATCTGTCACCAACAAACAGGATGGGAAGGTCCTATGCAAAATGTCAGCGCATGGAAGGAAGCGAAAAGTAGACATACGGACACCCGTCACATTTCAAGGAAAATAAGACGCTATATAAACTTTTACCTGTAAAAATATGACCAACTTTTAGTCACAGGAAGCAACTAAGTAACAAACAACAATAACCAAAATGCTAAAATAACAGAAGAGCGCTGGAATAACCACGATGTGATCGACCAATGATATTATATGACTTAAAATGTTCAAACTTCCACCTGGACTCTGAGCGCCGCTGGCCTGGTCACGTTTCATAGAACATATGCTAAAGTTATGATATTAGAATAAATAAATATCAGCTGATTGTAAGCAGCTCAGGTGGGACGCACCTGAAAAGCTTTTCCTGTACTTCCTGCAGGAGCCTACGCTCTTTGTATATGGCTAATCCACCTTTAGCTATGTTCCCAGTATAGAAGGCCATTTGGACTGTTTTAAATCCGAGTGCAGCCCAGTGTGTGACTGTGTGTCAGTGTGGGCAGATACTTACTGAGATGTGGGTTAACAGGAGCTGTGAAGGGACAAAAAAGAAGAGGTCAGTCAGAACAGTCCAAAAACACTCAGTGTGAGCAGAACCATTATGATCCAGGACAGTAACTGTGACACAAACGTGAGAACGGTGTCGTTTCAAACCAAGCTGGACTGCAAACAGCTTTTTAGATCATGACGAAATACAAGACAAAAAACAGGAAGTGACCTTTCAGTGTAAACCTGTTTGATAGCGAGCCCCTCTGGCCTGGACACATTTCATCATGCTAAAGTTATGATATAGGAATAGATTGGATTGTGCGGACCTCGGTGACACTCCCAGGCTGCTTACCCTACAACCCAACCCTGATTCTAACCTATAAAACCCTTGAACACTCAAGCAGCTGTTCGAAAGTGGAAGTAGCCTCGACACACTGAGGTGTGCGCTTGTCCTGTGCTTTGTTACACTGTGGCAGTCTCAATAATATTACCACAGCACTTCAGTGTCTGACCAAATGTAAACCATGCTGGAAATGCTGTTCTTATCCAAACCGTGGGACATCAGGAAATGCTGATCTGACAAGAACCCTGAACCATGGCCAAGGTGTTGTGTTGGGAGGAAATTCATTTACAAACTAATGAAGGATTAGAAAACCTAAATCTACCAAATCACACGCAGTGGAAACAGCTTTTATTACCTAATTGCAGGGTTCAGGGTATCCATTCTTCTCTTAAATCCAGCTTTGACAGATGTCACATGGTGACATGCAGAGCATCATGTGACCCAGCTGAACGTCAGTCTGCAGGCATAAGTATCCTTGGGCAAGATACTGAAACCTGAGCTGCTCTCTGC